AAATCGTGGATACCCCACTGGCTGGTCACTTTTTGAGAGTTGGCAGCTGATTTTTGTCGCCTTCTGTGTACAAAGGTGTATCAGTGCACTTCCCCGGGGTTAAAACGCACACCATTCTCCGCTGATCAAGGCTCCAGCCGCAGCACATGGTCTTTGAGCATCTCAGGGTCCTCTTCCCTCTCTGTCGTCCTCCGTATTCCGAGTCATCAAAAAATGGGAGGACAGACCAAGGGATATGGATGAGGAAGCCACTTACGTAGGGTAAAATGGAGGTGGGTCAAGGATCGCTGCTTGAGAAACTCCCGCTCTTGTACTCCCCCAGGCCGAACTTGTTTTGTCCACTTTAGTACACAGTTCTCTGTCCTTCTGACACAGCAAACTATATAGCGAATGGTTCACTGATGTCCACTTTTGCATTTTTAGCCAGCGCGATGAAGTATAGTGGGCATCAAAAGCTTTGGCTCAGTCCAGAAAGGTGACACGGAGTGGTTGCTTGTTGATCTCCCCAGTGGTCCAGTTCAACATCCAACATCAACAGTACGGGTAGAGGAAACTTGCAGGTTTTGAGCTCTCGCTTATCAGCCTTGAGGCTCAGTTCTTTTTGTTCGGTTGTACTCCTTCGACGGTTGCAGGAGCCTTTGCGTTTTCCTGCTTAAAACTTTGGAGGTAGTAATCGCCTACTCGAAAGTATCTTAATTGTAAATTATAGCTTGGTTTTTTTGGGGCGGGCAAAGGAGCTGCTGATAAGATCAATCAACCGTTTGCAGTTCCATTTCTGCAGCCCCCCCCCAGGTAAGTATTAAGCGTCACTTGAAATGTGCTAGAAATATGGTGAGTGGGGAATGAGAAAAAGAGGACTAAAAAGCACTTTAGGAGAGATAATTGTTACTGGTAACAATATGGAGAAGAGATGCATCTCATTGCAAATACTAGGGTTGGGGATTACTGAAAGGGCGCATCATCAGTTGCTACCAACAAATGTTAGTCTGACAGCCGACCTTGTCGCTCTCCTCCGTATTGTGGCGAGGTATTTGTCGAGTCTACCTCTCAACAGCCCCTCCATTTCACTGCTCTTCAAGGGCTCTCCACTTAGTCCTGTGGTGAGGTTTGGGTCTTTATTGGTCGGTTTTCTTTGCGACGTGAGACGATGCAGACCTTTCGGGTTGCAGCTTCGCTGGTTAGCCAGGCTACCTTGATATTTGTACGTGCCATTATGAACACGTAAATTACATGGGCAGTGTAACCTTTTGTGACGAAGAAAGCTCGATCACTTATGCCACACCCTCTCCTTCCTCTAAATTTGTTTTTGAATTTCACGATCTTGAGAAATAGTCCTCCGTTTATTTTCGACTTTTTCGATGAGGGCCTAGATAATGTCTTGCACATATATCCAGTATATGTTTATCGATACAGTGCCATTTGCATGGCAGTCTCCCTCCCGGTAGCAACGGGACGCTTGCGGTTCAAACATTGGTAGTCTCCTCCTGCTTGTTAAAAAAGAACTCACTGATGCTTGGTCGCTTTTGCCTGGATGAAGTCTGACACATATAATCTACCGAAGAATCGGTTGAAAGTGTCAGCCAAGTGGGCTGGCGCTACCTCTTTGGACCGATAGTGCCACGCTGTTTGGGTGCTTCATGTGATACGTTATCTCGTAAGCTGTTCAGTTGCCACATACTTTCCCTCAAGTTATCTTAGGCATCAACTTTACCGCTGTCCTCTGAACTCTGCCGAGCACTTGTGTCTTTCTTCAGTGGAGGAGGGGTTATCCTTCTGAACATGCTGGATGCAACTTGCCGTAGTTTTTGGGAACCCTGATAAATAATTCGAGAGCAGGGACTTTTAAATACATTTTTAGAAGTAAATAATGACGTCCAATTCTGTTCCCTTTGTCTATACTTGACACTGGAGCCTGGTATGTCGGACAAGTTTATTCTTAAGTTGTTCTCCTTTGAACCTTGTGGTTTTTCAGCTTCTGCTGATTTAGCTGGCCTCTGTTCTTTCCGATTTTGCAGGGACATCAGTTTGAACTTTTGTGGGTTGGAGCTCAGAATATTCCCAAATCTCCATGACTCCGAGTTCAGTAGGTTATCTTTAAGTGTCCTAGGGTCCTCCCCCCACCTACTGTCCTCCGTATTTTGGCGACATCGGTGGTTGGAAGGACAGAGAAGACCTGTGCAAGAATACTGTTGAAAATTGTAAGGAGGGAGTTGATCGTAAGGTTCCCCACCGGGGTACTTTTGTTCATGAGTTCTCCTAATTCGACAGAATTCTGTTGGGTTTGGTACTTAGCTGTCCGGCCCCCAGGTATGTTTTAAATCAAGCAGTGAATGCTTCCATAATGCTAACTTTCGTGCATTTAGTCAGAATGGCTTTATGTTAGGGTCGTCCAGGCCAGTCCAGAAAGATTATATGGACTGTCGACTTTCTTTTCCATCTGGTGGTTCAGTGATCTCAGATGGTTACCAACTTCACGACGCATTACCGCTTGACTCTGAAGTGATGTTGGGTGGGATGGATGAGGCTTTTCCCTTTTAGGTAGTTGGGAACAACGTGTGTAACCAGACTTTGAAATACCTTGGATATTATGAGCATTGTCGTCGATCTGTAATTGCTTGAGTTTTTGGGCTCCTGCACTGTAGTTGAATGAAAGGACAGTGCACGTTTTTTCTTTGGCGAGCAGGTTTACCCTCACTATGGGCGGAGGCAGATCGCATGCAGGCGCAGTTAGAACTTTGGCGCTATTTCGCGGAACCATCGGTCCTAGATATCGACAGTCTGACCCTTGGTTTTCGTTTAGACGGAGTGCAGTGGGTCTTTTGGGCTGAAACTAATTTATTTAGCGAAGTTACTCAGGAATTTGTGCGTGACTGCAAACCGTCGAGCTACACGGATTGTTCATTCCCTCTTAGCTGGGAAGGTCGGATTTCACCCGAGATCGTACTATCACTGGCGTCGCCGCAGCTGACTCTCGAAGAGGACGAATTTAGGTGGCCAGCTCACACAGTTCAAAGTTAGTTACAGTTAGCAAAACACATGGGAATTGTACTAGGCTCCAAAGCATAGGCGGACTGATCAGGATGCCAAAGAATGGGGATAAAGTGGATACATGAAGGACATTCACAGCTAACTGTGGCAGTCATTCTCTCCGGCAACGTACATAACAGTTTCGAAGCCTCTGACTGAATGACTTTTGGCCGCAAATTCCTTCTAGCCCCAGGTTGGATGCGGCTGCGCTCAAGCCAGGTGGGAGAGTTGCATAGTCCTGGGCTGCTGAGGTGAATTTTAAAATCGCGATTAGCCTTCTTTTCTTGCCGTTCATAGTACTGATTGGAGGATGGTATGCTGTCCATGGCAGTCGCTGTGCGTGCCATATGGTTAAATGGCGCTACAAGGAGTCTGGAAGCCCAGCAAGTATGCACCGTGTCACTTCTTTAGCTTTAAGAGGAGTACCAATGCGGGTGATCATTCCTCCCCCGACTTCGAACCGTTTGTCTTTTCGCAATAAGATCAGGCTGGCTACGGAGATTTCCTTTCTCAAGACGCCTGTAACAGCCACATCTCCGCAATAAAATTATTTTTGCGTGAAGCTAGCGAACACCATTATCGTTGCAAGTAATTTCCCACGAGGCCTCTCAAATTTCCGCAAAAGCATGCAAACACAATATGTTCTGGGCTTGGTTCATTGCGACGGTTTATGGATAGGTTGTCGTGTTACCGTTGCGTTTGCCACTGGGCCGGTAAGCGTCCATCTACCGGACTTTTCCGGAATCCTGTACTGAAGTGGCTGAAGGAAGTTTACTATGATGCCCACAGGGGTGGTTCCACCGCACAGCTTTGTTGAGGCCAGTATGGTCAGGAAGGGTCTGAGAGGTCGTCCTCTATCTTAGTGTCAGCTGGTCCTAAGCTTGTCTTGTTCGAATCATATATAAACTCCTGTTTGGTCTTTCAAGCGATAACATGCTATAAAATCCACTTTGCCCAACGTCTTATCATTAAGGCAAGACTCAATAAATGAGTCTTTCTTGAGAGTCTACTTACGCTACTGGCTGGCGAGCTGTGTAATTCTTTTTTAAATTCTGACCGTCTTCAGCGCTTTACCGGACGGAGTCGACGCTTGTTGTTTATATGCCTTCCTGTTAGTTCAGGTGTGTCATGTAATACCGGGGTTGCTACTTTATTCAAGTCTCTAACATTGGATTTTCTGCCCGATTTCCCGGTGGCCCACGCCTTATCTAGCTTTTTACTTATACTGTAGGAACCTTGGATTGTACGTTCGTTTTGGCAGCAGAACCTTGTCCCCTTCCTAGTTCGCCTACATCAATGACAACCTGAGGAGTGGTTGTGCATTTCGGGGGACTACTTTCCAGAAGGGGCTGGCATGAACTTACTGCTGCGGTTATCACTCCCAATATTGTACAGCAGTTACCTTGCTTCTCCATGTCAGACTAATCTCCACTCCCTCCCTTTCCTCAAATAACCTTAGCCCTGTCGTCCCAGGAGCAGAAAGGTTTGGGAGGGCGCCTTATCACGACGGTCCGTGTGGATATTTCCCTGTGGTGGGTGTAGATGTTATGAGTGTTTTACTTGTCGTAGAAAACGATTGTCAAGTGTGGTGGGTGATACCTTAGTTTTGGCCCAAATATCCATTAAGTTTGACCTGCTTCCTGTTGCAGGCTATGGGAGCTCATAACTTGGGATATCTTGGGGTGTAGTAAGTGTCCGAGATTACCGGCAGTTCAGAAGAGCACTTCCTGGCATCCTGGACTTCTCAGCATCTATAGATAGGATCCAACTCCTCTGCTATATTAAAAGGCTTTGAGTTCATGAAATTTGCAGCCAGAAGGTATGAGGACCCATACTTTCCCTGTTCACTGTGGGAAACTAGAGTGATATGAGTGAGAAATGACTTCTACACAAATCATTTTCACTAGTGACTGAGTCTATTAAGCACTAGCATTTTGTCATAGAAATCCGCTGATTTGTTTTCATCCATAATTAATTGTTGCGCCAATTTCAATGGGGATAGTTTGCTAATGGAGCTGGTTAGGATCATACAAGAAACGGGACTTTTCTGTCGTAATACATGTTGGAAGAATCAGTCGCTGACTTTCAAATACTGGAAGTACCTTACACTGATCTTCAGTCTTATCGTGGCCCTCAATTCCATTTAAATTTGCAGTGTCCTACGTGTGAGTCGTTCAGAGTGGCATTTGTCTGCTGTAATTGTGTTAAAAATGACTCAATCTTTTACCTTAAGTCTGGAAAAGTCAGGTTAGATTCTTAATCGTGATAGATATTTTCTAGTTTCCGGCAAAATTCTGGTCGAATTGCAACAGTTCGGAAGTCTATTGATGATTTACAGAAAAAGTATGTTGATTAATCGATATTCTCAAATACTTATGGATCAGGATTAAAGCATATGAACCCATACTGTTTAAAACTAACTCGTATACTCTTGTAAGATTATGTTTGGAATAGTTTGTATTGTAATAGAGTAGAGCAGAAGAGTTAAGCGCGCACATTTCATCTTTTGAAAATACTTTAAAGTATTTTACTGAATCAAATTTAGAAAGTAAGTCATACTCACTATATTGGATATTGTTATAGAACGGAGACGAGTACATCGTATCAGACAAGCAATGACACGATGTTATACAGCATCTCAACAGCTTTCAAAGCAACAAGCCAGTTTAGTTCGACATTTTATCACTGTTGCACAAAGAAAAAAGCTTTTGGTAGTCGACCTTAATATTGTCAATCAACAGATCAGACAAATGCATGATAAATACTTTGAAGAACTGCTTGGAGTATATTTCGTCACTGAGCTATCCGTGAGTGAACTAAAGTTTGTTATAATAATAATAATTATTATTATTACTACTACTGCTATTATTATTACTATTAGTCCTTCGGGTTCCTGGTGGAACATAGGGCTTCAGTAGCACATCGCCATTTCGCTCTCTTCTTCGTTCCACGACTACCTGTAAACTTACATTTCTCCCTCACACCATCTCCATGTCACCCTCGGATGTCCAACTCGTCCTTTCCCATTTGGGTTCGACTCGATGGCCTGACCTGGGGTTTGATGTCCATAGATGATCTCAGTGTATACCCGATCCATCTCTACTGCCTCCCTCTGCATATTTGTTGGGCGATAGCTTCTTGGCTGGCTCGTTGCCAGCTAGCAGCAATTCCTCCTTACTTTTTCTTTCTGGCCATCTGATCTTCAATATCGAGTGAGCGTGAGCGGCAGCTGTTGATGTGATGCATGTTTGTAGTTTGTTGGAAATGCTTTTCGTAACGCGCCAAGTCTTTCAACCATCACATAGAAGCACTAACTTTGTGCATAGTTTGTATATTACTGTTCTTCTAACCTTTTCTTTTAATGCGAGTTTTTCTTAATTATTTTATTGTGCTGGATATGGTCTCGCATATGTAGTATTTTGAATACCAGCGTCTTCTGTATCTAAAGTATTGATTTCTGTCACAATGTGGATCACTTCATTTCGGGGTAAAGCTGGTTTTTGTCACTGGATCACCGTCACTTTAAATGAACGATATTTTTATCCTTTGCCAGATGCTCAAATACAGAACTGCACTAATTGTAGAACTTTGAGATTGTATGTTACATAATGATGCGCTCGAAGATCCAACTTGTCTTCTGGCTCCTCTACTATAGTTTATTACTTAATGAACGAACAGCCTCTCATACCATTCTTGCAAACTGGCAATAAAGATAAGCCCTATTGTCCTCTTTTGTCTCTTCATAGACTTCACTATCGATTGCTGTAAGTGTAGTAAATGACGGCATTGCTTGGGTTTGGTGCAGCTACTGTGTAAGCAATGCTTAGGTCAGATCGATTGATTAAGTTATGAACCGTAGCCAACTAAGATGGCTTGATCATGTACTACGCATGCTGAACCGCCGCCAACTTTGACATGCCATACTAGGGGGGGGGGCAGAGCTAGATTATGTTAAAGGGGGTTCAGAGTGACCAGATGAAGACTTGGAATCAGTCGACGAAGTCGTGCTGTCGGTCTAAGTCGTGTTCGGAGACGTAAACTAATTGGCTGGAGTCCTCGAGGCGAAAGAAATCAGTGGTTGAGGTCTCTTAGCGGTATGATTAGAAACCAGTCACAATAGCTCAAGTGTATTGACTCTGAAGTCTTCTAAAGTTTGGACATTTGCACTCACCGTTATCTTCGAGTTTTGTATTCGATCACATAACTTTGTCCATCTTGATATCACTTTTTCTATCAATCTGTTCTTTGTATCCTGCTGTACGTGTGTGCTAAATTCTACGTTGAGTTTGTCTGTCAATCAGATGATGATTGTGATATAAACCTCCCCACAACATAAAGGATCAAGTGTAGTTTCACTTTTTAGTATAATATATACTACCTGATTGACATTTGATGTGATAGTAGTTAGCACCTTTAAGCATATGTTGTTTGCATTATCAAAGCCCATGTAACCTTCACAAGATTGATTCAGCAATGAGTTCTTGACATCAATTGAACTTTAACCTCACTTAGTGCATTAGAGTGGATTGGATCATGCAGCAAACTGAGGAACGAGCAGAGAGGGATACGCTGGACCGGGGAAAAGATCCTAGAAGGTTTGGATATCACCGATGACTTGTGTCTACTGTCACACAAACTCGAAGATGTACAGGCAAAAAGTAACAAGTTGGCAGAAGAGGCAGGGCAGCGAAGACGGGACTGCAAGTGAATGTAGAGAAGACAGAGGTGGTGATGATACCCAACCAACGCCACCACAAACAGCAACAAGCACGAATCACCATCAATGGGAGAAACTTAAAGGAAGTAGCCTCTTTCACCTACACCTAACTAGGCAGCATTGTTTCAACTACAGGCGGCACAGGCACAGACAAGGACGTCAAAGTCAGCCAGGATCGGAAAGACAGCAAAACAGGCGTTCACTAACCTGAAACCAGTGTGGAGATCTTCTGCACTCTGCATAAAGCGTGAACAAGATCCGGATTTTCAACACCAATTGAGTCAAGTCAGTGCTTCTATGTGATGGTTGAGAGAGTTGGCGCGTTACGAAAGGCATTTCCAACAAACTACAGACATTCATCAACAGTTGTTGCCGACCGACGCTCGTTGTTGAATATCAGATGGTCAGAAAGAATAAGCAACAAGGAATTCTGGCTGGTGACGAACCAACTAAGAGCCTATCACTCAACAAATATGCAGAAGTAAGTGGAGATGAATTGAGCATACACTGAGAAGACCATTGGGGACATCACGCTCCAGGCCAGGCCAGGCCAGGCCAGGCCAGGCACTCTAGTGGAATCCAACTAAAGAGGAAACGAGTTAGGCGTCCGAGACGAGGATGACATGGAGGAGATCATGTGAGGAAGAAATGAGAGCTAGTTGGCAGTGGTGGCTCCAGGTTCAAAAGATTGCAGAGAAGAGAGTGGAATGGAGACATGCTACTGAATCCCTGTGTTCCACCGGGAATCCAAGAGACAAATAATAATAATAATAATAAATAATTGGTGTGTTAGAACAACCAGAGACCACTCGGACGTAAGTATAAAAAAAGGTCAGCTTTTTTTGATTACCTACACTGGAAGTCAACAAAATATGTGGGTGGCTTTTAGTTTATATGCTTAGACTACCTGGTAACTGGTGATTGCTTTCTGGTATTTCGAAAAGTTTCCATATAACTAAGCTTGAGACAACTTTAAGTTATTATCCAACACTCACTCAAATTAGTCGGTTAGCTCTAGTTGATATAATCGCAACTATTTGCATCCAAAACCATTTTAGTATTACCATTAAGAGAGTTTTTATTTAGGTGGTCTAAACTGTCCACTCACGGATGACAGAACTAACTTTGTAAGCCATATGTATCTTCCACGTACAATTCTTTTTACATTGTTACTAGAATCTCTATGTACTTATGTGAATAATGATGCCAGTTAAAATCTCATTTACAAATTTCTTGACCAAAATATAAGCAGCTGAATATACGAATTGACTGTCTAAGATCCTAAGGTCTATAGTCATTATATACCTGATGGAAACTCGAGGATAATCGACTCTAGAAAACCGCATATATTTCAGATGAATATCAGTACTTTGGTCACCCTTTGGGAGATTTCGAGTCTTGTTTGTATGCCTGACACATTTCTAATTTGAGGGAAGGGAACCTGGCTATACCAACCCCGAAGTGTTTTGCCCACATCCAGCTGTCATGAAAGTGGTCAGTAGATGTATCATGCTAATTAAACGTCCCCAATTGAGTGTCATACTAAACATAGTTCCAGCACTCATTTGTTTTCCCTTGCAGCTATGATTATTTTCACTATCACTGCTTAAGAACGCAAAGAAAAAAAATAGTGCAATTTAGATTCGTTATGGGCTTGTAAACGCCGTCTAAAAGTATCACAAATCAGTGGGTGCACTTACCTATATCCTATCATTGCTACAGGAGGATTATAGTTTGGTCAACTACAGAATAGTTAAAGTAAATCAATAAATTGTTAATTGGGTGGAAATGAAAGTTAGTTTTTATATTGTCGAGGTTAAACGAAGGGTACTAGCTAATAAAAGCAAGTTATTCGATAATGTTGTGAACCTTCAGCAGTTGAAGTGATTTGCACGTGTTACTACGCGCATAGCTAACCTACCGTCTACGTCAACGTACCGTGCTAGGAGAATTTGGAGATACAGTTTGAAGAAAGCTTATAGTGACCAGACTAAGACGTAGCACCAGTCTGTGAAGTCTTCGACTCCTGGTCTAAGCCGTGTAATGAAGTGTGGTCTGCCAGATTAGTATCCTCGAGATAATTGGAAACCTTCGGTGATATGACTGAAAATTGGTCATAATGGTGCAGGCGTACTCACTCCTTGAATGTTTTGACTAACCTTCATTTTCAAATTTATCGTCTACTTTGATGATTTTCCTATCTACTTATTTGTTACATGTAGGAACTTGAACTGATACACCTGTTTGCGGAATTTTACGTTGATTTTGTGTGTTTAAACTTCCTTTTCTTAACTAGCTAGCAATTCTGACTATTTGAATATATATATATATATATATATATATATATATATATATATATATATATATATATATATATATATGATTAAAATAAATAGTGTAAACATATCAGAAAACAATTTTTTTCTGTTTATAGGCTGATGGCTTATCTCCAGACAGATTTGTCAACTCCCCACTACATATTGATAAAGAAAACATTTTCACAGGTAATATAAATCCTTTTTTATTTGTTCATATTTATCATTTCCTTCTCTTCAATGAGAACACCACCACTCACTAAAATCGTGTTATACCTAGCTAACGAGTCCCAAATAGAATGGAAAGAATGTTCTGTATTATAAGTCCTATCTGAAAATACCTAGAAATGATTGAATGTTTTCTCTTATGATAATGATGCAGACTAGTAAATACGTTTTATGTAATCACTTCTTAAAACTTCATATTCTTATTGTCTTTTTATAATCTTTATTTCTAGGTCCAGAACCTACACCATCCAGTCATACAGCTTTAACGTATTGTTCTGTAGCAATAAGGGTTGCAACTATTTTATTAGATGTTTGGTTACCAGTCTGTATTCGGCGTAGTCTGCATTTAGCTGGATCATTTCTATCTGCATTACCGCAAAGAGATGATATGGGTCGTGTATATTTTGCAGTAATCCATGCTGTTCATCTTTTATGCCAAAATCGAGGGATTGATGTAAAGAGTGGATTAGACCAACTTGGAATTAATGTTATCCCTGGACAATATACATATTATAACCCACTATTTGGACTATATTGTCTTGGAAATCTGGTCAATCATAATAATAAATCAACTAGGTAATTCATTCTTTTACACTAATATGCTTACAGTATTCTCGTGTTTTATGAAAGCTAATATCTGAAAGCAGTAGTAGTGTAGTGGGCGTTGCTGATAACAACGGATATAAGTAGTATATATGGAGAGGGTGGCAGGAATCATGGGGAATTACCGGCAATGGGTAAGGTTTCTGCCAAGAGCAACGCAGGGGATAACACAGGCGTATTACAGGGGATGCTGCTGATAATGAAGAGACAGAAGACAACTCGACGAGGGATTGTTTATTACGAACAATTAGAATGGTAGTGATTACATATGGTACACCTTGCACTAACCCAGCCATTTGCAAATGTCTTCATCTCCTCTCTGTTCCTGTCTTGATTTGCTCTTGACCGGCTCTTCATACACTCTTATCAGCAGCATCCCCTGTAATACGCCTGTGTTATCCCCTGCGTTGCTCTTGGCAGAAACCTTACCCATTGCCGGTAATTCCCTATGATTCCTGTCACCCTCTCCATACATACTACTTATACCCGTTGTTATCAGCAACGCCCACTACACTCTTCCCCCCTCAAATTCCGGGCTTGCAACCGTGTTGATCATCTTGGTGGTCCAGGCTGGAAAAAGACTCGAGGTGGCCAGACTAAAACATGGCACCAATGTATGAAGTCTCTGACTGTTGGTTTAAGCCATGTAGGACGATGCAGACTAGGTGGTTGGGGTTCACGGGACAAGAGGAACCAGTGGTTGGAGACCCTGGGTGATATGGCTCAGAACCGAAGTCAGTGGTGCAGATGTATACACACATTATCCTCATCTTAACAACGCTATACGGAATCTCACCATTTTGTCACTCCTCTTTCCTTTCTTCTCGTACTTTATATTTCTCTTGACTGCATCACTTATCTTCATCCTTCGCCTCACTACCTTTTTACTTGATGTGCTGATATGAGGTGTGGCAACTCGGACCGTTACGCAGTAATGCCTGGTCCTATGTTGATAATGATCGTCTTGGTGCTGTCTTCTCTTGGTTTTCACTCGCTGTTTCGTCTTTTTCCCACTGCTTCCATTTTCGAAGTAGTCTGGCGTTTACTCTTTTCTCTTTGTTCCCTTGTTTGATGGTATAAATTGAACCAAGTCTCTCGGTAATGATGTATGGTCCTTCCCACTTCGGAAGTAGTTTCCTTCTGCCATACTCACCTCCTGACGTATATCCTCGTTCTTTACAATTCACCTGATCTCCAACCTCAAATAGTTTCCATTTACTTCCTTCTCTCTGCTCAGATTTTTCAGCATCAGCCTTCTGCTTTCGTTCCACATTCCTGATAGCCTGTTTCCGCTCCTCTCTCAGCCTTGTCATGTTCCAAGGCTGTTGTTGGGGCCAGGTCTTACTATGTATCGGGAGCCGTGGTTTCCTGCCATACATTAACTGGGACGCCGACTTCTTGGTTGTTCCTTGTACCGAGGCACGATGAACTAATAATACTAACAGCAGTTTTTTCTCCCAATTTCCTCCTTTCGAAGCTAGCCACTCCTTCAGTGTACGGTTATTCCGTTCTGTCAAACCGTTAGTCTGTGGGTGGTACGGCGTCATTCTTGTCCTCTTGATATCAAGCTGCTCCAAACAGGATTTAAATTCTTCACTCTCAAAACAAGGACCTTGGTCGTCGGTCAGTATCATCTTCGTCACACCGTGATCCGCGATAATATGCGGTATCACCGCTGTGGTCACTGTCTTCGCGCGTTGATCAGGAGGCACGACAGTGTCTACCCATCGTGTAGCATGCTCCGTCATCACCAACAGGTATTGGTTGCCATTAGACGTCTGCGGAAATGGTCCCATTACGTCCACTGACCACAGGTCACCAACCACTGCTACTGGAATCGACTGCAGTGGCGGCCGTACATACCGATCACCTTTCATAAGTTGACAATGAGGACACCCCAGCACGTATTTGTCAACACCTTCTCTCATACTTGGCCAGTATGCACTTTGTCTGAGAAGGTCAGCTGTCCGTGAGACACCTGTATGGGCTAACTGGTGGCATTCTTGTATCGTTTTGTCGCGTAGACATTTCGGAATCACTGCCAACCAGCTTCCGTCATTTTCTCGCCACGTTAGCATTCCATAAGTATTCACCCGTAGGCGTTCTTTCTGCGTCAACAACGTTCTCAACTCTTTATCTCCCACAGACGTTTGTGTCTCTGTCCCTTCAGTTATGACTTTGGTCACTTCTTTCAGTGTCGGGTCCGACTTCTGAAGGCGAATAAGTCTTAACGGGTTCCATTCCACTGCATGTACGCCGTATGCGATCTCATCTCAGGTAGCTCATTTTTTTCGTCAGATCTTGATAAGAAGTCTGCCAGCCAGTTTTCTTTCCCTGCCACATGGCCGATGGTGAAGTCATATTCTTGCAGTCGTAACACCCAACGTGATAATTTTCCTCTAGGGTCTCTCGCTGCCTTAAGCCACTGTAGAGGTTTATGATCCGTTTCAATATGGAATCGTTGTTCGGGGGTGTACTATCTCCACTTCTCCAGCGCCCAAACTATCGTTAGACATTCCTTTTCCATTGTAGAATATTTCTGTTCTGCGGGTGTTAGAACACGGCTGGCATACTCCACTACTCAAAGGTTCAAAGGTGACATACTGGCCGCGGAATCTGAAGGTCCCAGTGCTTAAGTTCATGACTTTTGGTGGATATTTAGAATTCCTTCGATTACGGTTACTTCTCCTTTCTCCAAAACAATGGAGAATCTAATGATACCTGTGCTTGAACCCTCATTGAAGGCTTTCGGAGACCCTAATCATTTTGCATGCAAAAGCAGAAGTAGGACTCTGGATGCCATCGCTGTTTTATATCACAATATTGCTAGTAATTTTGGCGGAAATGCCAAGTATGTCTTAATACTGAATCTTGGATAATCAGCTGGTTGTATTCCTATTTCTCTAAAAGGAAACAGCATACTGTTAACAGAGGGAAGCGTTCCACCTCATCGATCGTTGTGACTGGTGTGCTCTAAAAAGCCGTCCTTTTCCCTTGCCTTTTCTTTTTCTTTCTGCATGACTTACCATCTTCAGCTAGTATCGATTTCGTCAAATATGCTAATGACCCGACTGATAGCTGCTACCTCGACGTGGTGGTCGGGCTTACATATCACAATCACCGAACAAGCTATGCTAGTGTAACGCTTGTTCCCTCGAGATCCTACCATACCAAAAAGGTCTGTTGGATAGTGGTAAGACGAAAAGCAGTTACCATTGTGGTGTAAATTACTACACTATGATGGGGGTCTGAGGGCGAAGTCGTACTTCTGCTAGTTGGGTGGATGACCATGCTGATGCTGCCTCCTCAGTGGAAGGGGGGGTTAGAAAAGGTTGGCCCCAAAAATAACACACTCCACCATGCTCCACAGTCTGCCAGGTCGGCGATGTTGGTTCATTCATTATTTCTTTTCGACCATCCGGCCCCAAAACAACAAAAAATTAAAATATTCGTACACAAAAGGCTGAGTGTGACAGGCCTTAAGCAGATGTCTAATGGGCTCTGCAGTCACACAAATCTCTTTCAGGTACTTTAAGAAGAAATAGCCTTCCACGGTGTGGGCAGCCGGGAAGTATCAATCGCCCTCACAACTCTGCCAGCAATCAAGTTTCCTCAGACTGCTATCCACTTCCCCCCTCATTATCTCCTAATCTTCCCTCACGTCTCCCAATTAACAGTACTACATCATCTTTAATTTCTCCTAGTTCTCCAGCCTTTGACAACGATCTGAGTTCACAGAACAGCATGCTTGGTTTCCTTAAACCACGCTCCAAATTACATATTGGAGCCTTCAATGTCCGCACCCTCTGTCAAGTTGGTCAACAGGCTTCATTGGCAAAGACTAGCAGCTCGGGGCATGGATGTGTGCTGTGTTTGTGAGACACCCATACAGGACCCAAGTGCGGTTATTCACCCATCCATCTCCCGGCCTATCTAGGTTTAAGAGACTGCAGAGAAGAGAATGGAATGGAAGCGTGCTACTAGCCACTAGGAACCCAAGAGGAAAATAAGATATAAAATAATGGCAGGAAATGGAATCAAGGTCATGTGTTTTGTCTTACTTGGGACTCATCAACTGGATGTACCTGCACTTTTATTGGGATATCCGGCTGACAAGTCCGAGAAGGAACAAAACGCGCCGCTAGTTACTATCTCAATTTGTAAAGATATCCCTAACAATATTCTATGTGTATACTTCGATTCACCTAGTTAACTTTGAGAAATATATGCTAATCCAGTTTCTGTTTTTTCAGGTACTTCGATGAGTGCTACAATATAAATTTGAATGGGCTTTTCGGAACAATTCCATCATTGACACTAGTGAATCATCCTACAATTCCATTCAGTTCAACATGTTTTCATGGTTTAGTGGAGAAAGGTGAGGAGATAGATGAAATGTTTGGCTTATCCAGTAGAAATGATGATATAACTATGAAAAGTGAACAAGCAGAGAATATCACCACCACAAAAATTGCCGCTAACCAAGAGTGTTGTTCTATTCCATCATCTGATAAACCTTGTGATGAGTGTGATTCACCTGTCAGTTTGGAATGTTGGGAGTTGGTATCATTCGCGTCACAAGTACAGTCTGTAACACATGATGCTACAATAGCATCAGACTTATCGAGACAACCTGGTCCATTGTCAACGGTTTGGCGGTTAGCCAAAGGGATTATCGGAACTTCAGAACCTGATGGTCATAGTGAATAACACAAAACATCATATTCCCGCCCGCCGCCCCCCTCCTTCACTTTTCACCACAGTCTTTCATGAAACTCGATTGGCGAGATTATTTAGTCTTTCAACGTATTTACTTGTAAAATAAAATTCATACATATGCTTTCCTTTTTTATTTGACTAGACACTGTGGACTACAGCAAACCTGGAACAATTTTATGCGAGGCCAGTATGCAGAGGTATGTGATGATTACCACGTGTGTAGGATGAATTCACTGTGAGAGGAGGAAAATGTGTTGCTACTGTTCTGGTACATTCCTTTCGTAAGGGTTATCATGTATCTTCATTGATGACTGACTGTTCGAGTACCATGACCAGGTCTCTATGATATTTTGTGTTCCTGTATGTTTTTCGATTTTGAATATCATGTAGTTCAGTTGTGGCTTGTAGGTTTAGCCAATTGAATTTCTGCTAGTACTCCACACTTATTGAGCAGCCCAGTTAGACAGTATCATCAGCCTTTACACATACAATTAATAGGCGTGGCTCATTGCCTACTGGATAAGGTTGCTAAACAGATATTGCTTTGAATTTCAGATATCTATAGGTTGATAGGCACATATAAGAACAAGCAGTTGAATAATGTATGACTTAATCCTGGTTATTTGAAGAGTATTTTTTAAAAAGAATCATTTAGAAATGAAATCAAATCAGGTGTACTGGTTAGTGGTTTATATATCATATGTGATTGTAGCTTGCATAATGTGATTTATGTTTATGCTTATATAAGGTGTATTCTTATTCAGATATCACGTTATGCTAAGGATGAAAATCCTAATCTAGCTAATATATATTATTGCGTAACACATTCCAAACAATCTGATCACAAAGAGACACACGTACTACCTACTGTAGATATTTATATGAAAATTTATAAAGAGATGGTGGGATAACGGTTATAAAAAGAGGTTAAGTAGGAAGGTTAAATAACAAAGAATATGTCAATGAAGCGCAGGATCCGAAGAGCAAGACAGGCGTTCATTAACCTGAAACCAGTGTGGAGATCTTCTGCACTCTGCATAAAGCGTGAACAAGATCCGGATTTTCAACACCAATTGAGTCAAGTCAGTGCTTCTATGTGATGGTTGAGAGACTTGGCGCGTTACGAAAGCATTTCCAACAAACTACAGACATTCATCAACAGTTGTTGCCGACCGACGCTCGTTGTTGAATATCAGATGGTCAGAAAGAATAAGCAACAAGGAATTCTGGCTGGTGACGAACCAACTAAGAGCCTATCACTCAACAAATATGCAGAAGTAAGTGGAGATGAATTGAGCATACACTGAGAAGACCATTGGGGACATCACGCTCCAGGCCAGGCCAGGCCAGGCACTCTAGTGGAATCCAACTAAAGAGGAAACGAGTTAGGCGTCCGAGACGAGGATGACATGGAGGAGATCATGTGAGGAAGAAATGAGAGCTAGTTGGCAGTGGTGGCTCCAGGTTCAAAAGATTGCAGAGAAGAGAGTGGAATGGAGACATGCTACTGAATCCCTGTGTTCCACCGGGAATCCAAGGGACAAATAATAATAATAATGTCGATAAAGCAAAAATTAATAGTCCATCGAACCTGGTTTCAGAGTTGAATTCACCAAGAGGGATTTAGTAATATGATAAAAATTGTTTTTGAACTTCCCTATAGCTAAAATCTCGATAAATCTTAGGATCCATCCACAACGTGTTTTGTAAATAGGACGATATGATTCATAATTGAAAATCTTGGACGTCTCTTACCAATGTTTATGGGTTCAAGTGATTTTAAGTGCTATTAACAGATCCTTTTAAGAATAGTCAACATAATTGATTGTTTTTAGGTGTATCAAGACAACTCCACTTTCTTTGTGATATGCGTACCAGGACTTTCCGTATATTCGAAACTGATGCTGAGTCGTTCCTGTTGCTGGATGTATTTGGTGTTGGTTCGACAAAAAAAAACTCGGTTGTTGTTTTTAATACTAATGCTCTATTCCACCATATTGTGTAGCTACATGCATAGCAATGGCAGAGCTCGGATGGCATCTGTAATTAACCTTGCAATCGTTGCAAGGGATTTGGTAGACTAAATTATTCTGCCTAATTGAATCGATAGGACCTTTTAATCTAAAAAGGCTTATTTCCAAGTGAGTTTATAGGCTAAAGTGCCACTCTGTTCCCAGCCAGCCTTATCCAGAATCCTACGTAATATCTCTGAGGTGGCTTCTTTGTATGGTAACATGGATCTATGTTTCACAGCCAGCCATAGAGTAGAACAGACCGGACTGCTGTGCAGTACACGCGACCCTTAATAGATGAACGGATATGATGGCGGCGTTATAGATGGCGTAAGTTGGCGAAAACCAATCGAGCCTTTTGTATCCATGCAGAGATTTCATCGGCTACAAATATTCACCATCATCACTGTATGATACATGTAATAAGTCAGGTAAAATGTGACAAAAATTTGTGATGGGCAGTTAACTGTTGTATGCACATTGTTATATTAAACAATCATACACCTGAATTGGCTCAAGGTGCCACATTTCATTGAAGTGTATCCAAAAAACAGGTGGATAGACAAAAAGTGATAGCAAAATGGATTATGTGTGAGAAAATAAACAATCTGACAATAAAAGTTAGTGCGAATATTTAACCTCGTGAAGTTGTTAAACAGTGAATAAATCTGCTCCAGTGTAACCGATTATCAGCCATGTGACAAAGAGTTCTCAACCCCGGATTCCTGTCATCTCAGCGACCATAACCGTGTAACTATATCTATATCGTCCTACACGACTCAAGTCAGCAGTCAAGGTATTCAACGACTGGTGCCACGTCTTCGTCTCGACACTCTGAACCTTCTCCCATTCTATCCCAACATACCCTAGCATGTCACATAGAGGTGGGCTGTGACTTGGCATGTGCAGTACACACCCAAGCCATCTCGATCGAATAAGTTTCACAACCTCATCAGTCTACTCGTCCGTCTTGTTTATTATCCCTCCCAGACCCCAAAACTGGTCACAAGGTGATTCCACTAAGCGTGAGGAATGCGGTGGAGACACTTATCTTCTAAAACCAATTATCACTTCATGTCTTCTAACTTTATCGACCATGTCTCACGATCATATAACAGGAGAGAATGGACTGCAGAGCAGGATGATCGTCCTTTCATAGATAAATAGTCGGATATCTCGCCAGTTGGCGTTACAGATGACGTAGGTTGGGAAATGTCAAACGGACCTCCTGTATCCGAGCTGAGATTTTGTCAGCAACCAGTCAGTTGAGGCTGGTGGAACTCCCGAAGTAAGTGAGCTGGTCGACGCATTCCACCACTTCACTATGTTTCCTTAAACTCAGTGTGATTGCGGCATACTAGTTTTGGAGTATCATCTTACATTTCACAGGTGCCAGCCAAACGCATACTAAATACATTCAGATTTCTGCTCAACGCGTTCGCAAGACCCTGCTTTTTGTTCGCGCAGCATACTTGGAGCCAACCAGACGACCTCCAAGGAGGAGACCAGCCCTTATTCAATCACAGGTACCTAAGGAGGGTTGGACGACCGATATCTAAGTCCCATTCAGGTCAAGATTGAATGTTGGACTACCGAAGCGTTGATGAGAGCCAGTTGGACTGTGCTCCAAAATGTTCTCACAGTCCTAACCATCTGTACCGGCATGTTATCAAGGTATCATCCATTTTCGTGATGGTTTCACTAACCAACTTCGGATTCGATTGTTTGAACAGATTTACCCAACGTTAGAAAGAAATGAATCAGCATGCCACAACTGAATATCTTACCATAAAGCTGCTGGAAAAATCAGAACACCTAGTGCGTCATTTATGTAGTCAATCTCGATGCAAATTTCAGTAAGTAAATAAATCTTAGTGAAAACAGAAGGTGTAGCCTCGGTTATAAGTTGTTCAAGTTGACTGTTAAGTCTGCTGCATTACACTAGTGAAATCAGAATCTTCAGTATACTACCTGAAAATAACAGGAAACAAGGAAATCCCACCAGCTAAGCAGATATATTTTTGTATATAGAAAAAAGTGGAATGGGATTCTTCTCAGCCTACTATATTTCTGTTATTGAAACAATAGTACACTTCCACAAAAAAACTAAATAGCCTCCTTCATTACCTTGTAGTATACAGAAAACGTCCTGCTAAGTGAAAACGCGAACAAAAAGCAGGGTCTTGCGAACGCGTTGAGCAGAAATCTGAATGTATTTAGTATGCGTTTGGCTGGCACCTGTGAAATGTAAGATGATGCTCCAAAACTAGTATGCCGCAATCACACTGAGTTTAAGGAAACATAGTGAAGTGGTGGAATGCGTCGACCAGCTCACTTACTTCGGGAGTTCCACCAGCCTCAACTGACTGGTTGCTGACAAAATCTCAGCTCGGATACAGGAGGTCCGTTTGACATTTCCCAACCTACGTCATCTGTAACGCCAACTGGCGAGATATCCGACTATTTATCTATGAAAGGACGATCATCCTGCTCTGCAGTCCGTTCTCTCCTGTTATATGATCGTGAGACATGGTCGATAAAGTTAGAAGACATGAAGTGATAATTGGTTTTAGAAGATAAGTGTCTCCGCCGCACTGATCACGTTCGGCAGGACCACCTTGTGAGCGTTATAGGCAAGATAGGAGAGTGGATTGATAAGGTTGTGAAGCTTATTTAATCGAGATGGCTTGGATATGTTCTGCGCATGCCGAGCCACAGCTTACGTCAACGTGCAATACTAGAGTAAGTTGTATTAGGATGGAAGAAGGTTCAGGGTGTCGAAACGAAGACGTGGCACCAGTCGTTGAAGTTACTGACTGTCAGTCTGATTAGTGGTGAGATATGTAGACTACCTGTTTGGAGTCTACAGTATGAAAAGGATCCGGGGTTGAGAACTCTTGGTGGCAGTGGCGCAGATGTGTTCTCTTCTTGAAGTTTTCATGAGGTTGAATACTTGCACTAACCTTTACCTTCAGATTGTTTATTCTCTCACACTGCTTTATCTACTTTGATATTAGTCGTTTTCTATCCACCTACTGTTTGTGTACTAAAGTGAAATGTGGCAACTTTAACCGATGTGTGTGTGCGAGGTCTATACTGATTTTTCCAGTCG